CGAGAAAAGGGGAAGAATAGTTAATAGACGTACTAATCTAAGATAGTTATAAGAGGATCATTATTAGTCAGACCAATACTTGCATAATACTAATTACATGCAACCGGAACAAGATAGACCTTCGAATAAGCAACCCTAACTCTAAATCCACAACCAAACAAGGAACAAGAAGTAAAGCAAAGATCACAGGTTCTAAGTCTATAACGTCTTAGTCACATGTAACCGTAGAGTATCCACTTAGCAACTATTGCCCTACTAGTAACGACCTTTTTAGTTCTCACGGAATACTCCTATAGTATTCTTGTTCAAATGTTCTTGTAGTAGTGTCGGTAAGTTTTTAAACTTGTTACAACACCGCAACCATCCTTAGGCACATGCTAGTCACTCCTATAGTATTCTAAGTCCTTCAATCCTTATATAAATATATTGGTGTAGATATGATTTGGAAAATAAAATAAGTTTTGAAAATTTCAAAAAGTAGTTTTTAGAAAAATCGAACATGAAACTGAGTTTGATAAATATTTGAAGCAACTTTACTGACAAGGTAAATTGAAAATGTAGAAAATTCTTTTGACAACAAGTTATAAAGCACATATGATTAGTACTATAGCTTACTTGATTCAACTTGTATCCCCCCCCCCCCAATAAAAACATTTAAAATCGTTTGAAAGGTTAATTTAGGGGTATGAACTCACTATTTAACGTAGGGTACGAGTGTGCGATTGATATGAGTGATGAGTGTCAACGGATGCTCAGAACGTAAGTGGTCCCTATTAATCATATGGTGACACGTATATGAGTTAGAGCTAGGATGTTTCATGACTAAACATGATGGGGAATCACCCTAAGGGCTTGAAATCACCAAGACTAAGTGTCTCGTGTCCCATACTTAATGATCTATGCAAGTTTAAGGTCAAATATGAGTATTAGAGTGGGTGTATGGCCATAAAAGTGAGCGTGCGGCTAGGGAATGCATCCAGACTTATGTGTGAGGCTGCACACTGGAGTGTACGGCCGTACAGGGGGGGTGTGTGCGGCTGTACACAGGGGTGTGCATCCGTACACTCCTTGTTTGAGTCCTATGTGTCGATTTTGAGGGGTTTCAAGTGTCAAACTAAGTCTTAGATTGATTATAGAGGCCATACCCTCACTTTGGAGGATGTTTTGAGTGTGTGCGACCACCTAATGAAGGTGTGTGGCTGCACTCCTTCAAGGGGTGAAGAACACGAAGAACACAATGAGTTTTAGGCTTAGATTCAAGTGTTTTACCTATATAACAAGCTGAAAGATGAAGTTCTTCATGTTTTGGAGGCCTTCTAAGTGTTCTTGGATGTTGTTTCTAGAGAGAGAAAGTAGAGAGAGGAGGTGCAGCCAAAATTGAATGGAAAAGGGTCCTCTACTATATATAGGGGCGGGTGTGAGGCTGGAGGGGGTGTGCGGTTGGGTGTGCGGCCGCACACACCTCTCTTGGTGTGATTGGCTGGATTTTGTGATGCAATACCCTTCCTAAGGCTCATATCTATGATATACTAAGCCTAAAGCACTCGTACGGACCAAACATTCTGCTAAAAGATGCTAAATTCAAGTGAATGATAGATATATGGATCGATTACACAGTGTAAAAGTGTCGGGTTGTCACACCTAACCCTCAAATCATATCAGGAATACCCAGGGTCTGTTGGCTAAACATAAAGCAGTAAAACCTCAACTCAACACTGTGTATAACCGATAAAAATATATTCAACAAATAAATAATCATATAGATAGAATCATAGGTAGTCATACAGATCTACCAGACTAAGCATATCGGCAACTAGCATATAACCATGCAGATGTATTCCATACTCAACATATGAATGTATAGTAGGATATCAATCAAATGGGCTGGCCTTGGTGCCTTCGATCCATATGTACAGTGATGAAAACTCACCACACGATCTGATTAATAGCTGATGAGGTCCCAACTCCGGATCTCAACTGTAACCGCCACTTATCCACCCAAACGACCAAATACTCAACATAGCCCAAACTACCCCAGGTCAACATTGGTCAAAATAAACAAATCAACCGTGCACATACACATGGAGTACTGCAGATGTACGTAGTGCGTACTCCTTTGAGGACTGGATTAGGATGGCTGACCGAGTATGCTGGATGTACACATAGGTACGCAAGACATACTGCCATGTTTTCCTCTTTTCCCATTAAGTGCTTAATACTTCGTCTTAATGCGTCCAATTACAGTTCCATGGCCAAAATATCACTAGGAGTCATAAAGTTTCCAACTTAATGACCTTGCATGCTCAATAAGTGCTTAAAACACTAAAACTCCACATCTTAATGCATTAAGTCCTTAAATAACATGCATGGGAAAAAATAACCATTAAGGCTCCATGTTTAAGGCTTAAGACCTCTACTAAGGTCTAAAAGGGTGGATTTGTGTGTTTTGATGGGTTGGACCGGATTATAAGGGTTGGGCTCGATTATATGGGTTGGGCCCAAATGCATGGGCTGCACCAAAAAGCATGTAACTTGGGTTGGGCCCGTTACTTGTTAGGTATGTGGTATTATGGAGGAACTTAGTAAGATTTGTGCTTATGATTTTGTGTTTTCATGTTATAGGTACTTCTGGTTCCACTGGGCAGAGCTCAACATGATCGTATTATACACCCCTAAGTTTCATTCATCACTATCTTTTGAATTATCATTAATGTTTTGATATTATGTTATGTTATTCTAATTATCTTTTATTTGAAATGAATAGATTTTGATTGTTGGTTACTTAAAACTAAAATTTAACTAAGAAGTAAAATAAAATATGATTAAGGATAAGGGTTACATGTAGAAACATTTAAAGTATATTAACCATTCAGTATATATTAATTTGTCAATAAAAATATGCCAATAAGTTATATCTTAAATAAGGTTGTTCTTTTGGATGGATCAGGTTGATCTGATATGACCAGGTGAATACAAATTGATTTCAATTTTTAAAAAATGGATGTAAATACTCTAAACTTACTTCAAATTCGATCCAATCCAACCAAACTACAATTCAGTCGGATCGGTTTTTATAATTCGATTTTCAAGAGTCAAGATATTTTAATAAATATATAAATTAAGTATTTGCCATATATATATATATATATATATATATATATATATATATATATATATATATATATATATATATATATATATATATATATATAAACTAAGGAAATGGGTTTAGTTAATAGTGGATTAAATTTTTTAAAAAACTACCTAGACAAATATATTATATTTTAATATTATAGACAAAAAAATTTTTTGATAAGAAATACATTTTAAGGTGTTGTATTGTATGAAACATTCTAATCTATTAAAAAGATATTTAGTCAATTTATAGACTATTAAAGATATATATTAAAATAAATAAATAATTTTATTTGGATTTTTTATAATATTCGGTTCCTATTTTATAAATACAACTAATCCAAAATTGAAAATAATAATCTGATTTTGCTGAAAAACAATTAAAAAAATCTGAATATACAAATCAAATAGTCTAAATCCAAATAATCATTCGTTTTATATAAATAATGAACAATCATATCCTCAAACGAGGTTAAATGATCAAGAAAAAAAAAATTATTAGCAACAAACTTTAAAATAAATACCTAAGGAAGATGTTCTTAAAACATCTTGGATAGAAGCTTTTTTTTATAACTTATTATTAGAATATATTGTTTTTAATCGACAAAATAATACATTGTATCACGTATGTGATAACTTAAATTATATATATATATATATATATATATATATATATATATATATATATATATATATATATATCATTATAATAAAATAATTAATTCAAGGAATCATGAGGTAATTAGTTGAGAATTATGAAGATTAATGGCAAAAACTATCATCTTCAACATGGCTATAAATTCGAGCATATAAAAGGGGTTCCTCAGTTAAGGACTTAGGCATTATATATAGCTCGAAAAATCGAGTGAAAACCCCACAAGAATTTTGGGAATTGACTAAGAATCGAAGGAGTAATAGGGGTTAGAAGTTCTTGAAGAGTTTTGGAGTTTTCTCTTGAAATTAAGGGTGCTTGTAGCGTGTCAAGCTTTGGTTTAGACCTAAACGCCAACAAGGTGAGTTTCATGTTAATTTTGTGGTTTCTTGCATGAAAAATTGATTCTAAATTATATGCAATTATATGTTACTGTTGTTATTGCTATGAATATTTGTGTGAAATTTTGTGAATTATTTCATATAAAAGGGTGAAAATGGTGGGTGACATATATATATATATATATATATATATATATATATATATATATATATATATATATATATATATATATATATATATATGGAACATGTGTATTTACACGGTCTTATTATTAGTCGTCGTACATGTTGTTAGTACGCGGCGAAGAGCTTACACTCTGTTTATCTAGCCGTAAGCATATTTGTTGTACCCGGCGGAGGGACTTGTTCCCTGGAAATGATAGTAGTTCCCTAATATGTCATAAGGATGGAAACAAATGAAAAGAATTATATTGATAAATTGTTGCATTATTTTTATTTTATTGATGTCAATATGCATGAAAACTACGAACTCACTAGGCCCTAGGCTTACCCATTAGAATCTTTAAATGCACGCAACCCAGGAAATAATGTAGCAAGTGGCAGCGAGACTGGAAAGTATAAAGTTCAGACTTGAAGAATGCGACAAGTTTTGAGGAAGACGTAGCGCGCCAAGTGTTTACTTAAATTTCTATTTGCTTCCGCTATTATTATTAATAATTACATTAGTATTTGAATCTTGAATTTTTGAAGTTTTGGGACTATGTTAAGTTAAATTGGTATTTGAAATTTGGGTTATTACAAGTTGGTATCAGAGAGTTGTTTAAGCAGATTAGTAGGTTTTTAATTGCCTAAGCTTAAACGGGAGGAGCGGTACATCGCCTAATTTGGGATGCATCTCGTTTGTAGGTACTATGGATCGTGGAAAGGCAATTGTTGATGGTGTGGTGTCAGTTGAGGGTACTAGTGGGTTACTTCCTCACGAGAAGTTGAAGGTTGAATTAGAGCTCTATGATTCGGAAGGTAGTTTGGAACCATCGACTCCACTCAGCCTCTCTGAACGGGATGAAGAAGACGAGGATGTGGAATCTGAGGTGGAACCCGAAGAAGACGCAGACGAGGAACCCGAAGAAGACCCCGAGGAGGAACCCAAGGGAAATCACGTGGAGTACCATGTAGAACAAAGATATCAAACGTTCCATATGCCCTATGTGGAGTACACGCCAACTAGTCCTGGTACCTATTGGGAGCGACTTTATAAAGATGAAATGCCAAAGGCACAGCTCGAGATTCACATTTTAAAAAGAAAGATTGAAGAGATAGATGAGCATAGGTCAAGGCTCGTACAGGAGAACCAAATACGTATTGAGGCTGCTGAGAAAAGTAAGCGCAAGATACAAAGGTTAGAATAGGAGGTGTTGGAGCTAAGGAAACCCACTATCACTAAGTTGCAGGAAGGGTTTGTGGCTCGGGCAAAACAAGCCAAGGCCGCGACTTACGGATTCCTAGATAAGGTGGTTGGAAGAGACCCACCTCAGGGCGAGGTGCTGGTCATTCAAAGTGGTCCCGGAGATCGAAAAGCTAAAAAGATAAGGAAGTACTTGAAGGAGGGAAAGCGAATATTGAAATATGATGATATCGTTTTTAAAAATTAGAAAGTAGGAGTGAAATGATTTGTGTTTTTTTTTTATTTATATTTCTCTTGGATGTTGGCTTAAGTGACTTGATGTAAACAAGATATATCTCTCTTTTTGAAGTTTTGATAATTTGGAATAAAATTTATGTGTGTTATACTTATTGTGCTATAAACATAAATATGTAGTTAATATCTCTTCACGAAGATCTAGAAGGTTCATTAGGGTCACCCCGGAGGAAGAACGCATCCCAATTGGAGCTTATGTTAGAGCACTAGGAGATGTACTAGAAACCCCACTGATCACAAATGCTAGTTGTGGATGGGGCCAAGGAAGAGGTAGGGGTAGAGGAAGAGGCCGAGGAGCTGTTACAGCACCGATACCTGTACAATCGGCCCATGGCAGCTCTGGATCCCACTGTGGTCAAGGTCGAGGTCACAAAAGGGGTCATGCGGAAAACACGATCACTAGGGATGAGTTAGCTGATGAGATTGCTCGGGCAATTCGAGCCGCTTTGCGTGATGTAGTTGCTCAGGCATGAGAGGCTATAATAGGTGAGTATGAAGGTAACTTAGGTGGAGGTGAAGAAGACTATGAGTACAGTACACCATTTATGAATCAGGAGCCAAGTATTGCACAACCCTCAAGGAATCATGACAACCACAATCGGTGAGGTTGTAGTTACAAGACGTTCATGAATTGTAAGCCACCCATATTTAATGGAGAAATTGACCCTATTTTGTCCTCAACATGGATTATGGAGATTGAGGGAACATTTGATACTAGCAAGTGTACGGATGAGGACAAGGTGATTTATGTTGAGACAATGTTGAAGGGGGAGACAATACATTGGTGGGGCATGGTGAAGGAATTTAGGGGGCGTGAGGTGGCCAAGAGGATGTCATGGGATAAGTTTCTAATAATCTTTAAAGAAAAGTTTTACTCGTGAACAACGGTTAAGCAGTTAGAGGAAGAATTTTTGAGGCTGGAACAGGGGAACATGACTGTGAGGGAGTACACCACTAAGTTCTCGGAGAAAGACAGGTTTGCTGAATTTTACGTTTCTACAGAAGAAAGAAGGGTGGAACGCTATATATGGGGACTGAGAACAGCTATCCGTGAATTTGTGCAAATTCAGAAACTAGGTACTTTCCAGTCGGCTGTAGATGCTGCAGAAGGCCGCGAACGTGAGAAGAATCGTCAAGGTGAAGACAAGGCTTTAGGGAAAAGAAAATGGGATGGTACGAATAATGATTCGAAGAAAGGAAAGACTTCAGGGCAAGAATGTAAGGTTGATCAAAGTTATGGAGTAAAGCAATGTCTGAAATGCAACCGTTATCATAAGGGGGAGTGTAACATGATTCAGAAAGTTTTCTACAAGTGTGGAAAGCCAGGGCACATAGCCACACAATGTAAGAAATGAAGGGTATGTTACGGGTGTGGATTCCCTAACCACATTAAGTCGGAATGTCCCCAGGGTAAAGGTAACAACAATCAAGGCAGGATAACAGACAATCGGTTCGCGGATAAAAAGGCTGACACTGGTAGACCAAAAGCTAGAGCTTTTCGCATGACCTCCCAGGAGGCTCAGGAAACCCCGGATGTGGTGACAGGTACTTCCTAATAAACTCAATTCATGCTAGGATATTATTTGATTATGGTGCAAATAGATCTTTTGTGTCTACTACTTTTTGTAAAAACCTGGGTAGAAATGCAAAGACTCTAAAACATGCCTTAGAGATTGAAACTACTAACGATCATTAGGTTGTAGTAAGAGAGGAATATGATGATTGCTCTATCGAAATAGAAGGTGGTGTGGTACCGTTAAAATTATTACCTATATCCCTAGGTAATTTTGAAATCATTATAGGGATGGATTGGTTGTCGGCAAACCAAGCTATCATAGATTGCGAAAATAGGATTGTTCAAGTTTGGGTGCCAGAAAAAGGAATGGTAAAGATTTATGGTGATCAGCGAGTTAAGGACTCTATTTTGATATCAGTGACTAAGTCAACTCGTTATTTAAAGAAAAGGTGTCAAAGTTATTGGGCATATGTTCTCGATGCCAAGCAGGACAAGCCTGAAATGACACATATACGAGTTGTACGCGAGTTCCAAGATGTGTTCCCTGATAACCTAACTAACTTGCCACCGGATAGGCAAGTGGAGTTTCGAATCGATCTTACCCCAGGAGTAGCACCGATAGCTCATGCGCCCTATCGGTTAGCACCAACCAAATGGAAGGAGTTGATGGTTCAGTTGCAAGATTTGCTTGACAAGGGTTTTATTCGGCCCAGTACCTCACCGTGGGGTGCACCAGTACTGTTCGTTAAGAAGAAGGATGGAATAATGCAAATGCGCATTGACTACAGGGAGTTAAACAAGGTGACTATAAAGAATCGGTATCCGTTACCGAGAATTGATGATCTATTCGATCAACTTCAGGGGGCAAGTTACTTCTTAAAGATCGATTTGCGGTCGGGATATCACTAACTGAAAGTCAGGGAAGAAGATGTGTCAAAGACAGCCTTTCGAACTAGGTATGGTCATTACGAGTTTCTAGTAATGTCATTTGGTTTGACCAATGCACCAGCTGCGTTCATGGATCTGATGAACTAGGTGTGCAAGCCAAACCTAGACAAGTTTGTAATTGTATTTATCGATGACATCTTGATATACTATAAAAGTAAGGCAAACCATGAGCAACATCTACGGATAACACTTAGTTTATTGAGGAAAGAAAAATTATTTTCCAAATTTTCAAAGTGCGAGTTTTGGCTTCGGGAAGTCCATTTTTTGGGCCATGTTGTAAACGAACATGGTATCAAGGTGGACCCAGCAAAGATTGAGGCGATTGAAAAGTGGGAACCACCAAGGACCCCATTAGAAGTTTGAAGTTTTCTTGGGTTGGCAGGATACTATAGAAGGTTTATACAAGACTTCTCGCGCATAGTTGCACCGCTAACTACCCTGACAAGGAAAAATGTGAAGTTCGAATGGAAGCCAAAGCAAGATAATGCCTTTAACGTCTTAAAGGAAAAGCTTAGCAGTGCACCAGTATTATCTTTACCAAAAGAAAATGATGGTTTTGTTGTTTATAGTGATACATCCAAGTTAGGTTTGGGGTGTGTTTTGATGCAAAACGGTAAGGTGATTGCTTATGCCTCACGACAGTTGAAGGTTCACGAGCGTAAATACCTAGCACATGACATGGAGTTGGCTGCAGTAGTGTTCGCTTTAAATATTTGGAGACATTATTGGTATGGGACAAGGTGTCAAATCTTCACTGATCATAAGAGTCTTAAATATTTGTTTGATTAGAAAGATTTGAACATGAGACAACAACGGTGGATAGAACTATTAAAAGATCACGATTGTGAGATATTGTATCATCCAGGGAAGGCAAATGTGGTAGTTGATGCATTAAGTCGTAAGGAAAGAAAAGAACCACCTAAGATTCGAATGATGAAGATGAACATAACCACCACCTTACTAGATGATTTGAGAAAGAGTTAGGAGGAGGAATCAAAGGAAGATAAGTGGAAAAGTGAAGGAGTGGTGGGAGTAATACAATCATTGGAAAAGGATAGTCGTGGCTTGAAGTATTTTCAAGGAAGGGTTTGGGTACCACAAGTGGGTGAAGTACGTAACCTACTTCTCAAGGAAGTGCAGATGTTGAAGTACTCAATCCATCCGGGAACAAACAAAATGTATCAAGACCTACGGAGATATTACTGGTGGCCAGGGATGAAAAAGGATATAGCCTATTTTGTTGAAAGGTGTTTGACGAGCTTGAAGGTGAAGGCTGAACACCAAAGGCCATACGGTTAGTTACAGCTAATGGAGATTCTAGTGTGGAAATGGGATCACATCACAATGGACTTTGTGACTAAGTTACCAAGGACACCAAAAGGTTATGACGTGATTTGGGTAGTTGTGGATAGATTAACCAAAATGGAGCATTTCCTTCTGATTAAGGAGACATACCCGTTAAAAAGGCTAGCTAAATGATACGTTGATGAGATAGTGAAACTGCATGGATTCCTATTATCTATTATTTCGGATTGGGATAGTCGCTTTACGCCGACATTTTGGGGTAGTTTCCAACGAGAAATGGGTACTCAAATAAAATTGAGCACAACATACCATCTGCAAATAGATGGGCAAAGTGAACGGACAATACAGACCTTGGAAGATATGTTACGATATTGTGTTATTGATTTTGGAGGGTCTTGGGAAACTCATTTGCCGTTAATTGAGTTATCCTACAACAATAGCTATCATGCAAGTATAAAAGTCACACCATATGAGGTTCTATATGGCAGGAAATGTAGAACTCCGACAAAATTATGTTGGAATGAGGTGGTGGAGAAACAGTTGGTTGGACCTGAATTTCTTCAGCAAACTACCAACAAAATCCAGGTGATTAGGGATAACATTAAGGTTGCTCAGGATCAACAGAAATGTTATGCAGATAAGCGGAGAAAGCCAATAGTGTTTCAAGTTGGTGATAAAGTTATGTTAAAGGTGTCCCCATGGAAGGGTGTTGTGCGTTTCGGTAAGCGAGGAAAGTTAAGTCCTCGCTACGTTGGACCCTTTATAATTAAGGAACGAGTTGGAGAGGTGGCCTATCGATTGGAGCTACCAAGGGAAATGCAGGGCATTCATAGCACCCTCCATGTCTCTAATCTAAAGAAATGTCTAGCGGACGCCACCATGGAAGTGCCACTTCAAGAAATTAAGGTTGATGAGAAGCTACGATATACAGAAGAACCCGTCGTGATTGTAGATTGAAAGGTCAGAAAGTTAAGGAATGTGGAGATACCACTGGTGAAAGTTCAGTGGAAATATCATAAATGTCCAGATGCAACATGGGAGACCGAACGAGATATGAAGTCTAAATACCCTTATTTATTTCATTAATTCAAATTTCGGGGACGGAATTTTTCTAAGGGAGGAAGTTTGTGATAAATTAAATTTAAGATATAAATATATATGTAATTAGATTATATCATTATAATAAAATGATTAATTCAAGGAATAATGAGGTAATTAATAGAGAATTATGAAGATTAATGGCAAAAACCGTCATCTTCAATAGGGCTATAAATTCGAGCATATGAAAAGGGTTCCTCAGTTAAGGACTTAGGCATTATATATAGCTCGAAAAATCGAGTGAAAACCCCACAAGAATTTTGGGAATCGACTGAGAATCGAAGGAGTAATAGGGGTTAGAAGTTCTTGAAGAGTTTTGGAGTTTTCTCATGAAATTACGGAGTAACAAGGTGAGTTTCGTGTGAATTTTGCGGTTGCTTGCATGAAAAGTTGTTTCTAAATTATTTGCAATTATATGTTACTGTTGTTATTGCTATGATTATTTGTGTGAAATTTTGTGAATTATTTCATATAAAAGGGTGAAAACCGTGGGTGACATACATATAGGGAACATGTGTATTTACACGGTCTTATTATTAGTCGTCGTACAGGATGTTAGTACGCGGCGGAGAGCTTACACTCTGTTTATCTAGCCGTAAGTATATC